ACATACTTTACATAAAGTCCATTAAATGTAATGTCATATCGTAAGCTCACTGTACAACAGCTGTACAACGTGACAGTCTGTGTTTGAGTTTAGACAGATTTATTGAGAGTACTTATTATAGAAAAAGTCCATAGTATTAATAAGATTAACTATGACTAGTGCGATTCTCCTGTATGAATTTGTGTTCGATAGACTAACCCGGATTAATACTAATTGAAACGAGGCTTTAGTAGATCATTTAACCTGGATTACTACGACCCGGACTGTCAAGTCAATCCAAATTATTGAGACTAATCCGAGACAGGATATACGTTTTTTCCTACACACTAAAAACGTTTTTGAGAATAACTAGAAATTTAAAAAGATTTGATGACCCGTTTGTCATTTTTATAATAAAATAAAAATTGTTAATGAAATAAAAAACAATACAATTATTATTAGATACCTATTATAGGTTATGCAATAATATATTGGTATACAATATTAATGGTATTACATTTATCACATATATCGAAATATTTCTCTTGTTATTGCTGTCAACAATCTGAAACATGATAATATAATTCGAAATTCTGAATGTGTATACTTGAAATCCCGCTAAACGATAACTAGGTAGGTCGTATGACCGCGAAGATTATATTTTAATCCGGGTTACCCAAGGATTGATCATCACTAATTTAAATATAATACTCTATTATAGCGTTATTGCAAATTACATTGACCGCATTTCATAACGATCAAATATAAACGTACCTCATTTATTACCATTAATTCGGTATCATTTGTCCGGAGAATAATAATGAATCTTACAGACGATACAAAAACAGTGGTTTCGTTTTGCCTTGCTTGTCCGTACAAAATAGACCTAACTTGTTCTTTGGAGTGGCTCAATTTCATTGGCACGGCTAAAAATTCATCGCTCACATTCGATCAATAAAATGTACAATTATAATTGCACACCAAACACAGCCCCTACATCTAGTTATAGTCTAATATATTCCCATTTAACAAGTTGACTGGCAAGCTATATTATAAGGAGACCTTTGGGTTTTTGAGAGTTGGATATGATACTCAAGCCAGTCAATTTATTAAACATTGTTATTGTTTCAATGTTTATGTATATCATAAACATATATATACATGAGGTAGTTTTGGAATTCTTATAAGGCCTGTAGTATATTTACATTCTTCACAATAAAATGTTTGTGTGTCAATGTCATCAAATTATTATTGTAATAAAAGAGAATAAATAACAAATTAAAAAAATTCAACTGAATTTTTATCATCATCATATTAGGGTAATATTTTACATTGACTGTAAAAATAAAAAATATAATATTCACAAGGCCACTATGAGACTGGCGTGGCGGGTGACTAGACATTTAATTTATTTAAAATACCAATGCAGTGGCCAACATACGTATTTCTATGGGTTTGAATATTTACTAACAATGTTCTTAGTTTTCATGCAAAATGACAAATAACAGTAAGATTTTATCCATGTAATTTATTGATTAGGTAAATTCAAAAAAATACATTAATATAGATATGGTACAAAAGTACAGTGTATGCGTTATTAATTTTTTTTTATAAATAAATTATATTTTATAAACTCTTTAAATCAATTTGTGTATAATATCGTTATTGCTTGACTTTCTAGTAAGACTTTGAGCACAAGTAGATTGTAAATAAAAAACATTACATCACACCATTATAATAAAGCATTATGACATAATTTTCACAACAAAGAAAGTATATAATACAAGCGCCAAAATTACACAAGATCGAATCTACATTCTGACTAATTTACTAGCCCGCCAAACAAATGTAAACGTACTTAAAGTAAACTTTTGTAATTTAATTATTTTTGTGATTATATTATGTTTTATACGGTCTGGTGTGGTTTTTACTAAGCTAAATGGAAATCAGTTTTTAATAGTTTCCAAACAATGGCGTGGAACTGTATACTTCAACAACAGTGCTATTTAATAACGGGTTTGTTTATTTATAAGGTAGGTACTTGTATTAGAGTTGAAAGCACAATATTGTCACATAATAGTCATTGAAGTCATAAAATACTCTAGAACGATATTTTGCTGTAGAACTTTTTCGTTTAATGTGGCTAACCTCAATTTAATGATTACGTGCTTTTAGTTAGAACATTATATATACGTCTATACGACATGTATTTGAGAATATTGATATTCGTCTGTAGTTTAATAATAGTTTGTTCAAGTTTATTGGTAGGGTGAAAGAAAACATTGTTTTATTTCAAAAACTTATTTTCCGCTAAGCAATCGAATATTATGAATTTGTTTAACAGAAAAAAAAAATCTTAGATATATTATATAAATAGATATTCTCTACACGAAACCAATACCCAAGAACCGACTTGGATAAATTCTTACTGTATTGTTTTATGAGTAACTACAATATATACAAGGGGGGGGGGGTGGTCTTGAGGTGTCTTAAGTCTTCACGGGTTGATAAACGTTAACGAAAAAAAAACCTGATTGACCCATAAGGTACATAGTGATTTAGGAGTTATAGGTTGGAAAATAGGGTAACGAGAGAGAAAAATAATATAATTAGATTTATTTATAGACTCGTATGATATAATATTCTTATGTAATAAAAAAAAAAAAAAAAAGTTATTACGACATTTTTAAAATTGAAAAGCCCTTGATTTACTGAATTCGAAGAGTTTACTTTAAAAATATACGTACGCATTTTATTATAAGACATTTGAAGTATTGGATTATATTATTTTAGAAATTGCGTAGATAAGTATATATTAGTTACCCTAATAGAACACTTTGTTTAAAGTGATTTCACACAAATGCATTACTACAAAATTGCTTGATTCGTGTAGATTAATTTTTTTTAAACACTTTAAAACAGTAAAGAAAATTCGGTTAGGTTTATCATATTTAATCTTATAATGGAATTTTTCGAGTCCTGACACAAGCCCTGACAAAGAAAACAGTGCACATCAATCAAATGACTATGTTATTGCCATTAAATACGCCTATCCATTACCGTACCTTATATTATTTTACGCCTTTACATCCAACACATGGTCCACTGTTCTTATGCATTTATCGTGCCAGGATTCTATTAAGATACAAACACCACCTTTCAATTAACCGGATTCATGACCATAGCAAAAAAACTATGGAAAAAACATGAATCAAATATTTAATTAACCAACTTAACGCGTCATAGATTATACTCGAGGCTTTGGCGAAATAGCATTTTATTTTTTCATTAAAAAAATAACAAAATTCAAATCGGTTGACTCTATAGTATGGCTGGAGAGTTATTTAAAATTATATTATCTAAGTCCCGAGGGATAGGTCATACGATTTCGACAAGATAACTCTACTTAAATAGCATTTAATTATTGTGTGCTAAGAAAACACAGGTCGATATTTGCTAAACTATTAAGCTACATATTAATTATAACTATACTTGGACTTGATACTCTAACTATACTATAGTTGTTTGAATATACAAAATGTAATGTTAGTGGGTCTGTAAAATATTATAGTTATTAACTTGTGTGCAATTACCACTGTTTCGCACGTGTACTCGCAATTTAAAATATAATTTTAAATGCGTGTTTATAAAATACCAAGTGGTACGTTCCTGCACAGTTTATAAGGGGCTTGAATTATCTTTACTATTAAAACTTTTTACGGCTAGGTCGCTTTTATAATTTACCTCAATCTCTAGTAACACAAAACTATTGTACACTAAACAGAAAAATAAACATACATCTAATAGGAAATCTAAAAAAAAATAAATAAATAGAAACAATTCAAATCGGTGATGTGTATCTTATTGAAGTTAATGTATTGCCATACTAATATTTTCAAACATTCATTGAACTGATATTAGCCGGGCTATAAGAAAATTTAAATACATGCAAAAACCGTCAGGGACTAGGCCTTAGCTCAGTGGGCAATTTAAGGTTCTAACATTTTTTTTTTTAATTGCTTTCTTGTTTACATAGATTTTACCTATGAGACAGAAATATAATATTACCATTCAACCTTATAACTTAGAAGTAGCTCAACAGGAATTTACTTATACTATTGAAACAGCACCAATGTCACTATTTATGCCCAAGAGTAGCATTGAATACTAAAAAGAAAGAAATGTTTGCATTTTGTATATTTAAACAATTTCAGTCCCTCGTTAAATGTGTACTGAAAACATAATGTTAAGTATAATAGAGTAAAAATTATTTATCTAGCCAAGTTGAATCCACTTGGAAACATAAAAGAAATGGTAACGTTTTAAGATGTTTATTTTTCTTGTCTATTACCCGATATTTTATCTTGATAATTTATTTAAAACTCAAGTCTATATGCCATTACAAAATGGGATGTAATGGTTATTACCTTTTTTCTATAAAATGCATTTTACTACCTAAGGGAAACCACACGTCCATTCATAAAACATGTAGAAACTATAGGATCGTATTGATTTTTGCATATAGCTTCGCTTTACTTTTTCTCGTTTCTCATTACACGTCAAATTTAAATTGTTAACTATCTCTGAACTGTACCAATAGTATGGACTACATTCTGAAACCAATTACATTCTGATCCTTGACGAAAATTCGAATTTTTATAACACAGTAATGTATTATAAAACCTACAATTTTTTTTTCAAACTATCATTCTATAATAACTTGTTGGTATATGTATATTTAATATAAATCATATTATTGATATTTTATAATTTTGTTTTTGTCGAATAAACATTATTAAGGTTTTAATAATAAAAATACTAACACTTAACCGAATGATTTCTAAAATAAATGTATTATTTAGTATCCTTAAAATTGCTATTGTTATTAATTTATTTTGTGTACAATAATTATATTTTAGAACTTCTGATCATTCCTTTTTGGTAATATTCTGCATAATTATACCTTATTGTTATATAAATAATTTCATTGTTTGGTCGATATGGTCTGTTAAATAACTTACCCCTCCTGTTATACTATGACCTAAGGCTGAAGCACTGGATAGTTCGACCATTGGGCAACTAGGTCGATGTTCTTCTTCGTGAAATTTTGGCTGGTAAGGTTCCAGCATACGAATTTTGCCCCATCTGTTGAAGAACAATGCAATGGCCGCTACCCACAATATCATTACGCATATGACAATAAACGCCTCTTCAGTCCGTATGACAATTGGACCTAAACAATTGACGACAGTTATTTAGTTAATTAATATTACTAGTAACTCATTGTTATTTATCGTTTTATAATTTACTTCGTTTTAATTTTTTGTTCTTAGTATAAATGCTAGTAAAGCTAATAATACTTAGTAATATAACTATTACCAATAAAAGGAAATTTATGACTATATAGGTTTTTTTTCTTAATTTTAAGAGTATAATGTTGAATAAATGTAAGTTATAGTTAAACATAATTTTGCATTCAGTCAATGTTTATATAAGTATTATATAATTATAAATACAAATATTATATTATATACTATATTAATTCACTATGTATTTAATGCCCATTTACTAATGCAAAAACTATAGTGAATTAATAATGTGTGTGAGTATTACATGTGAATAGTACAACTATATTGATTAATTTCCTTACAAATCTACCCGCTCTCTATATTTTATGAGCCAGATGCCAACTACCAATTGGCCTATGGTAATAATATGGATAAGGGTACAATTTGCATATACAATTAGACTCTTTGTAGTACAAAATTACGGGATCTATGAAGTATGAGCTTCGTGGATATTATCATTGTATTATGAAAATATTTACTTAAATGGTAAACTTATACTAATGTAATATATACCTTCGAAAATGGTTCGATTATAATGGATACTTTATTTTATACACTGTGTATAATTTTGAGTTTTCAGTAAGTTTTGCTTAGTTAAACTTTAGTGTAGAAACTTTTACAAAAGAAATGGTTTAATATTTAATTCTAAATAAACAAACAGCTAAGTCTGGCCGTGAGCGTTATTATTTTCTATTTGGAAGTAAACATAGAGGGGAAAAAACGTTGAAAATATTCGACCTGGATTCGACCAAGGGACTTCACCTGTCAGTCTAGTTCTCCGACTACTGAGCTGTTTCTACTAATTCTTATTTAATTTTTGTATTTTTTTCTGAACTCTTTAATCTATACCAGGATTTCAAACTTGGTGACTCGTTAAAAAAACAATTGTTACTAATGTAAGTGTTACAATTATTTTGTCAAAATATAGACGGTATTAAGCAAACCCCAACCGAGAAACTTGTAATAAAAAATATGTATTCTGTAAAGACCTACACATACTTGAAAACATATCCGCTACTAAAATAACTAACAAATCTCAAATACCATAATGATAAAATAATTAGAAATTTGTATTATAACAGTTTTATAGGTAATTATAATTTTCAGGTAAAAAAAAAGAAACACTATTTATTACTTTTTTAAATTAGGATTTGAACTAAAGATTCGAACATCTTGGTGATTATGTACTACTACGTTTATGTTTACAATATACTAGGTAGCAACAAATTTAAATTTAATAATCTTAATATAAATTTAATTTAATTACAAAGTATGAGATAGATAGATATAGGAATATTACGATGGTGGTAATGGCTCAGCAAGATTCTCTAAGTTCTACAATCTACATGATGATGATAAAGGGTATACAGCCCTTAATCCGCACATTTTAGATTAATAAACCAAATTAAATGAATTGTGCTTTAGGTAGGTTATTAAGTATTAATTATCATTGATCGGAGAATATAAAGCTGGGTTTACACAGTTCACTCTGGATGTTTATTATTTGCATGATTTTAATACTTACACGGTTCAGTTAAATGAGTTTATTCAAAATGTTCTTCCAAAATAAAACTACGCAAGCCCTGATTAAGAGTACTGTGTTTATAGATATTCAATATATCAACAATTTGACGATTATGAAATAACATAACACAATTTTTTATTTTAAATAACTCAAAGTTGCAAAACGTCAACGAGGAATATTGTTTTTTATAAAAGTCTATAATTTTCAGAAGGTATAATGGCCATAGCCGCATTATGTGTAAAATGCTGAAGAGTCTAAAGGAGATAACGGCCAAGCCTTTTAATATTGTCAAATGTCACTAACTATAAACTAAAACCATAGTATTTTCATCAAATATCTAAGCTTTCTATCTTACACGTTATGATCAATGTGTCATATTTGTCTGATAAATACATATTTCACCACTGGCTTAAGGATTATAGGATTTCCACGAAAACATCTATATAATATACCTTATAAATTTACATAAGATTAGAGGCAAAGATGGAAATATGCGACGCCATGCTTAGGGTTCGCATAAATATCGTCACAGCAAGAGTTTATATAGTGAACATAACAAGGAAAATACATAAGTAAAGGGTGCTAAGGTAACTCTTCTCGAATAAGTAGCCTACGGGGAGAAATGCTGTAAGAAGAGAAGGCTTGTGGAATGATACTTTATTATGTTCACTGCGTGACATAAAACTAAATTTTAACCTGAAATCAGAAACAGAGTGTTATGATATAGTCCTGTGGAAAGTTTAATATTGTTAAATAGAACTGTAAATGATTCAAATGTCACAAAGTTTAATACTGTTCCAGCACAATGTCTACCTTATTAGTTGTTATTTTGAGGTGTCATCACTTTTAATAAATCTTTTATTAAATTGTTAAATATAAATTGATAAAGCGCGAGTGTGTACTTATGATTTATACCACCAATTACCGTTATATTGATAATCCAAACATCCTATCTATATAAGTATAAACACATATTTTAAGTTTCACAAATTATTTCGAGGAAACATACAAGGTGCCTCATTGATTTTACGGAAACTAAATGAGATGTACTAAGTATCTTAAGCATGCTAACCAGATATATTAATCATGGGAAAATGTTAACAAATAAATTATATATATATATTATTATGGGCGTGAAGTTTGTCACTGAAATGTTGTATTTACACTCAGTGTGAATCTTGGTAAATGAAAAGATGGCGTCACACTTTTGATTACACTGTAATTGTGTTTCTACTAATTTAATTTATTCTATGTAGATATGCTAAAATGCTGTTCAGTAAAACAATTTCATCTTTAAAAATTGTTTTTTTCAATCTTCATTTTTAACATTTTTTTTTTTTTAACCGCCCATTTCATTTAATAAACACTTGCTCTAGCAATTTTCATCGCTCATTATAATTGAATTAGATATTTTATGATGAAGCCAAACAAAGTCAGTGGAAATGTATTTGAATGATAATTTTTAAATAAAATAACTACCGCTAAATGAAAAATAAATGTTCAATAAGAAAAAAACCTAACAAATATTAAATACGTTATCAGATAAAAAAAGACAATTATTTACTAGTTTGTGAGTGAGGTTACAGTAATGTTATCATTAATAAATCTCACAACGTAACAAATTACATTGTATTCAGTGTTAGGACTATTGGATTGTAAAACCCTTTACAAATAAAATTAATACTTTACACGGTTATCTAACAAAAAATTCGTAAATTATAATGAGTATATACATCAATTGACATTCGATCACAACTGTAGTAATGTCAAGTAAACTTGATGAAATTAATTTCAGATAATCGGCTGAAAGAAAGAATAACACATATCATATATTCTCGTACAAGAATTCGATGTGATGTATTAAATTTGTTATATTTTTGTATTAATTTATTTGTATCGTTTTAAATAAATAAATATATATATATATATATATATAATTTATAAAAATTGTTACTTTAAAGATTTTATTTGATTTTCGATTGGATTAAATGTGTAAATAAAATTCAGAACTCATCATTACATCTTAGGTTTTTTTATTTAGTACAAACAATTTCCTTTAGTAAAATGTATCAAATGATTTAGGTACTCATTTTATGCGTATAACATTCGAAATTAAGACAAAATGGCATGTGTTGAATATCAAAATGAAATCAGACGTTTTACAATAATCCCCATACTTAACCCTCAAAAGACGTCAAATAAAATATGGCTTTTCTACGCACAAATTAGATCATGTTACAATTTAATGGAAGCCACTTACACGCAAATAATCACATAATCATATTATTAATGGCCATTTGACACTGTAATTTGACAACCAATGAAGATTATAAATATTGGGCTAGTTCAAAATGCAAAATTATAGTTGTGTCCGTAAATGTAATTTAATTATAATTATGTATTATCTAATTAAATTTGTATAGTTCATGGCAACCTCTAAACTGAAACTAGTTGGTTAGGATATAATATACGAGTGTGCACATACTTAATATTAAAAAAAATATCATGAAAGCTTACCTCCCGTTCCCGTAGGAATCATTTCGGAAGGCAGAGCTGTTGTTTCGTCAGTTTCTTCAAGAGCCACCACTTGGTTGGACTTAGGCTTATCCACCCAGTGCGTGCTATCGTCTGGATATGGCAGGTCGCCATAGATAAGTTCAGTGTGGTTGACATTGTCGACCATCTTATGTTTAAATCATTTCTCTGTAACGAAAATAATAATATTTTTTAGTATTATCATTTTTATTAATTTAACTTAGGAACCGTCATCGACATTAAAACACATTGTTTTTTTTTCTATTACATTGTGCCTATCAAAAACAACTGTTACAGTGTACGCAATGATTTGTAATATTGTAAATGTATTATAACAATTTATGACAGCATAAAATATATTATGTAACTCCGCAAAGATTCTCTCTTTTTTTTTTTAATGGGGCTTCAATAATAACTGACAGCTTTATAATACAATACAAATGTGAGTTAATGTTATACAACGACTATTATCGAATATGATTATTTCTGGAATTTTAATAATAACCTCGCAGTGACGCATCTAACGTGTAATTTAAAAATGTAATGAACCACCCGAGCAGAAAATTGTTTTCTGTCAACTATACTATGTGTATTGTATTTTTTCATCCACTCTGTGTTTGTACATTATTCTGCGGGGGCCAACATTTGCGTTTACAGTTGGTCGAGTTTGCAGACACTCGCATAACCCCAATATCATGGGCATTTATTGTCATTTTGCCTCTGTAATATATCTGTATGTACTTAATAATAATATGTGACGGGTCAAAACGAGAATAAGGGCCTAGATTAAATTTGTTATTTCCATTCGCAGTGTGAAACGCATTAAGTTGTACCTCTGTAATGGAAACCGTTTTATGATATCACCGTTATGATAATTATTGCCTCGGGCTCACTTTTATTTCACCAGTATAATTTTTAATCAAAACCTCGTTGGTGGAACGGTACGATATGTACATGCATAGTAGCTTACAGTTTACTTGTAACTTGCTTGTATTTTAAATGCAAATACAATTACAAAGGGGCGAGAACCCTCTTACGCATAAAATAATGATGCGTAGATAGCACGTTTTGTTCGTTGAAATTTTATTTTATTTCGAGATTTGCAAAAAGAAAAATATAAAGTTTATTAAATTGTTTTGCTTTTTGGCGATTGACAACTCGATAATTATAATTTATACCGAAGCGTCGGCCAAACATTGTACACGCCCAAAAAATCGTAATAAACAAACGGCCTGTTTTATATATAGAAGTATACATTTTTAAAAAGGTAAACAAAATCATACTCTCATGAATTATTAATAACAATAAATTAAAAAAGCAACTCCGGCAAATGTGTTAATTTTTTTTTTGTCTCAAATAACCTCGCTATTTTAATTATTTTCATTTTATTGCAACGAGCCACTTAAAATGAAATGAAATAAGTCTTGTGCCGTTTAGTTTTTCCGGAAGCATTTATATTATTTTACCATTTACATCGACTTACGCCGAAATTAAATTATTTCTAATTATTAACAAAGGTTTCTTAATAAATACTTTGTTTACAATTTAAATAATTGTGCTTTTTAAATGGTGGAATATGTGATTATACATATATTGTTTATACATTGCAAGTTTATAGTAAAAATGTTTACACAGTCAGAATTCAGGTACCTTTTATCCAACTAAATATTGAAATAACATTGTTTTTTCTTATCTCAATTGTGAGCTTAAACTTCTAAGTTTTAATATTCCTACGCCATTAATTTAAGTTTTACATTATTTTTCCTTGCCTACTAAAATACCTATTACCTACCTACTATAAATAACCCTACATTTATATTGCAAATGATACAAATAAATCAAGTATACGTATTGTGTTTATGAAGAAATAAAAATAAAATAATAAGTAATTGTATTTTAAAAGTGTATTTAAAAAAAAACAATTTTGTAGTGATAAAAACGCAGTATGTGTGATACACGTCTACAAGCAAATCAATGATAATTAATTAAATATTTAAATATAAATTATTTATTAATTTTGACACGTTTTAAGAGCTAAAAATATTCTATTAATCTATTATTTGTTCAGCTTAAGTCCTATTAAACATTGAATCACCTGTTAAACATTTATTAACAACAACTCGATAGAGCTGGTCGACTTTTTAACGTTTTGGTTACTTATTGGCAGATACTTAAAAGCTACCGCTAGGCGTGTAAATAGTTTCAATGAAAATTGCAGCCGAGTAGAATGAAGTATTAATTGAAGCTAGTGACGTAAGTTTACCGTCGAAAAAAATCTGTATAAAAAAACACTGACCACGTGGGAGTCATTTACGTTGAAAGGATCACTGTTAAAATCGCATTATAAAACTTTTGTAAATGTCGAAAAAATTATAGTGAGTAAGTTTACACATATGAAAAAACAGATTTACGAACAAACATTCAAATTTATTAACGAAAATAATATTTTGTGTACATATACTTACAACAAATTTAAGTTTTGTCTGTATAACAAATTTATTTTGAAAAGTTTTCGTGCGTGCGATAGCAGGCAATTGGCAGTTGAAAGTTTAATACAGTACACTAATAATGTGTTTGGGAGCTAGTGATGTATTTACATTTTCATCCTTTTCTCGAAGTTGATTGATTTATTTTTAAGTACCCGAGTTATTGATCGTCAACTATTAGTTGCCTGTGACCGCTAAAACATCTTAATGGATATTTCTCGTTAATTTTAAACAGAATATATTAAAGATCATCTCGTCCACCATAATAATATGTAAATTTAAACAAATATATAATTAACCGCCTGCTATTGAACACTATGAAAATGTTGTTGTCATTTAAGTGAAATTAACAGTCAAAATCATTAAATATACCTACGTTGTATATACTCAACGGTTAAAACTTAAAACTCCAAAGAAGTTTCGACCAAACAAAAAAGACCTTACTTGCTCCGCTTCGCGGAAAAACATTGAATCGCGGATATGTTATTGTGGTATATCTGTTGTCAATTATCTCTTATCTCATATTTCCTATCTACAATCTCTTATATCTAAATGTATTTTTAGATGTTTAGTTTTTTGACACAAAATACATATATATATATATATCCATGTTCAAATTCCAGGCGACCAAATTTTGTCGTCGGTACAGTCGTTTGAGAATTTCGTCCGGTGTGTGTGTGTGTTTATTTATTTATTAATATTACGTGCCATCAGCCATACATATCTTACACGAGCTCCGGATTAACACAATACGTGACGCAAAAGCGATTCACACACAATATAATATAGAACTGTACGCGGCCATTGACCACCGGTGTGTGTGTGCGGTTGCTTCGCCCGAAAGGGTAATAAGGAGAAATGCGAACAAATGTGTCGGATACACACGCGAACGCGGACTAGGCGGATCGACCCCGAAACGATGGTTCGGAGTGGAAAAAATAATCAACCGAGACGTTTTATGCGCAAATAAACGCCTTCGAGGTGTGCCGAGTGTACTTTATTATGGTCTAAGCCAAGTGTGATTTTTTTTTCTTCTTTTTAACAGTCCAAAAATGTCGGCCGTTTCGCCATCGTCGCCGCGATACGATCTCTGCTCGGAGCGAGATAATATTTTTGTTATCGTTATACGTTGTGTTGAAAAATGTACCCACATTTTGCGAACAACCCGGTTGTGGTTTTTGACCGTCGTCGATTTTCACACGGGTCTAATACGAATTAATGCGATCGGTCTTGTGGCTTTCGCGAAAAACCAAAGTGAATTACATAGGCACGAGAAAAACTTCTAAAAATCTCTTCAAGACAAATGGCGCAGTTCTCTCGCGCAATATCGTAAACGACGGTCCGACGTTGATAGATTACCAGTGTATGGATATGCGTTTTAAGAACGTCGCTTGTATTTTAAGGAGTGTAAAAAATTACTTATAATTTTTGTTTTCTTTGTATTTACCTAATAGTGAATGCTGATAAAAAATCCCGTTATTACAATAGGGTATTTTTTTTTTTTTTGCATCCCATCATTCATTTTAGGAACAAACCGTATTTTATTATAAACGAGATAATGATATCAATGTGTAGGCTGTAGATGGTTTTTACATAATTTACATTAATCGCCGTCAACTTATATAGATTTAAAAAAAATAATGCCGTTTTTATCACGTATCCTTTTAATAATATACCATGAATAGAATATACATTTTAAGGGATGTGTATAGAAACAAAAAATTACTCTGGTCGACTTTGTACTTCGAGCGATTAGGCCGGTGTTTTTTTTATACTACATTCTAGCCATCATGACATTTTTTAGGTTTTTTTTTTATTAATTTTACAAATCAATCACTCTAGCTTTCAACTTTTTAAGTGACTATCATAAATTTTTAAAAACGATCGTTGAACAACGAAATTATTACTTTACCTCAGTTTAAATGGATCTTTCTCGGCTCAGACAAATTATTTATCTCTACCAAGATGAATCAAAGTAAACGAATGGGTAATTTTTACAATTTTACATATATATAATTACAACATATACATGATATTTAATAATTAATGGTAAATTTACCTAATTTTAACCATTATATTTAGGATTTTTAAAAAAAATAAATACTAATTCTCTATTATTTTAATATGTACTAAGATTGAAATTAATTATGTACCAGTACTACGAAAAGGGCTCGTTATGATCTATATAGGCACAAAGTGTAATTACATGAAATCCTCCTTATATACAGCCTTATCCAAGCTAATAATAGATTCGACAAATTAGGCCCTTCTTTCACAATACTTATAGTTATCAAAAATTGCAATACATCTAGTGTTTTTATTATACTTGAAGTTTCGAGGTTCATAAAAATAGTGCCGATTAATATGCTTATACAATTATTATCTGTATAATTGTAATAATATTGTTAAATAATTAAAAGTTACATGTTTTTACATTAATAACAAACAATTTAAAATCGTTGCGATTACTTTGCATAAAATAAAAGCTTAAGTACACGTTAATTATAAAATAATAATAATTAATTGATTTTTTATCCGAACCGTTAAGTTATAAGTGGATTAGTAAATAATATGATTACATAGTAATAATTTTCAAAATTATTGTAAAGTAAGAAAACAACAGCTCTGTTGCACCAAAAAAGTTTCCGGGAAATAGTCATTATTAATAGACCCGTTAAATACTCAGCATTAATTTTAAATTGTGAAACATATTCATAAAACACTTATTATTACAGCCGACAGACTAGAATTTTTTTAACTTTTTGCTAGAAAACAATATGTATGTAAAAATATATGTATTATAAAGTTTTTATAAGAACATTACACGTTATCAATTACACTAAATATGAAAAATGCGTCTAAGTTTTACTAGATAATCAAAATGTTTTTTTGTTGTAATTACAATTAGTACCATTGTTTAAAATAATTGCCCTCTTTCGCTACCAACCCAACCTGTCGATCTCGGCGGACACTATCAGCGGGACTCCACGTGCCTAATGACTAAAATAAAATGTCACGCCATTGTTAAAATGTGAGCAGTACACGATAATGTATTATATAATAGTAGATGTTCCAGTCGTAGGATTATTTACTTGATAGTTGATACTATATTTATAAACGTACCGATTGCGTAATTTCGTTAAGTAAAAGCGTTTTTATTGGTTGTGATGCGAATTACTGAAGTAAACAGCAAATGTATAATACTAAATTAACTTCATCCAAATTCGGTTTAAATAATGGTGAAAAGAAAAGAAAACTTTAAAAAATTATCGTTTCAATGAAGATTGTTTATTTTGGTTAATTATTGTAGGTAATCAGTGGTTGAGAACTCGTTCTTAATATTATCCGACATTATTAATTCCGAAAAAATCTACTGATAACATAATGTGTCTAAGAGCATAAACAACAAAATTTAACAGTCAATATTTTTCGCCACTTAAATATTTACTTTTCGAAATATATTATATAGAAACAAATTAATTGAGCTACCGGAGCTTCTAATTTCGCGCTCATCTCATGGACCATTTATCACATAATATTGATAATATGAGTATAAAAAAAAAAAAATAACAGTACATCAAATTCGTATAAGTAACTACTGCGTGGGGGCTGTTGATGTACGACGTGATTTAAAAAGTATACATGCATATTATGTATTTTCATACTTAATGAAGATTAATCGAAAGGGTTGTACGTGTCTGTTTTTGCTTGTAACAAAAACAAAAATATCATAGGGGGGAAAAAATGCAATATAATATTTCATCTTGAATTCCCGGCGTTTATTGTCGTTGCTTATAAATCAAAAAAACGGTTAAAACGCTAGCCGGAGGATAATCATGCGACATAGCAGTGAAATTGTTGGCAGATCAAAATTACATGTGTGTCGTGGCCACAGGCGCTCGTGTTAGGGTTGGTTTCTGGGCTCGATGTTGCTTATTTATCAACACAATCGGTTTGTCAAACAGGTCAGATGAGATGATGCACAAGAAAAAAAAAAAAAATACTGCTTGTTTTTGAAGTGTAAGGCGTGTGTGCGTGAGCCGTTATATTTTTCCGAACAGTTGTGAGCTGAATCGAAATCGTACAACTAAGTGCTTTCGAAACAATTGCACGGTTAATGAAACCCCATTCGTTTTTCTTTCAAAACATAACGCTGTTAACGTTTGAAACGAAATAACGTTCCCGACCGATTCCGACGACCAAAACAAAACGCCACAAAAAAAAATTGTAACCTAAATCATTTTAAAATCATCCTCCTTTAAATTCGTCAACATCCCATTTTTCAGCTACTACTTTTGCCATTAGCCCATTTAGTGCATACATATGATGCTATCTGTAAATCAAATGATCGAAATCACTACTTTGTATATTTTATATTTTACACTACAACTCTGACTTCAATATTTGTAATGTACAACAGTCTATTAAGTTTTTCATTTATTTTTTTGATATTTTTTTCAGTACAGCCACTTTTTGTAGTAACAATTTTGTCTTTCTCTTCTTTTCTCTTTAGAATTTCATAAGCTACCTCGTTATTTATTCTGGTTTCGGTTTTATTTTTTCTTTAATGTCTGTGGTTGATTTTTTTCAGGACAAAAAAAAATTCTCAAGTCGATATTATTAAAAGTTTTCTCCGTGTTAACGAACCGAAAATGCACAATACAAGTACAGAACATTATATTATATCGTCTTATGAAAACGTTTATTATTTTTTCAACCATTCTTATTGATTTTTCTTACTTCTCAATTATCGACCGTCTTAACATGATAAATCTCAAAAGTCTTTACTTTTGTTGTCGTTTATATGTACTATTTACACTGCAAATAGTATGTATGTGTTTACTGTATAACGTACAATATACAAATAAAATATTGAAAACTGTACAGTACAGACAGAAACAACGAATAATACGTCTTAGGTACGTGGCCGCGTTTGAAAACCCTTTAAATAATGAAATGTAAACGTATATTTATGAGTTTGCAAATTCGCGGTGGACGTGTACATTTTCGGAAAGCACAACCGCACAAAACCCACCCGTGCCGAAAGCTATGATGAATTTTACATGTGGCAAAATGTTTGGCTGCAAGGTCAGAAGGGCAAAGACCGCGCACCGGACAAAGACGATCCTGATGAAATATGTATCGGATAATTGACCCTTTGTATCTACCTATACTTGCTGAACCTATTTCACCGAAAATAAAATAAAAATTCGGTATAAAAACGCGGTTGTTAAAAATAAAAGATATTCTGTTGGAACCGTTATGATATTTTACACTAATAATTGCAAGATAAACATCGACAAACGACCCTTTATTGTAGCTATATTATTATACTAAATAATAATACACCGCAGCCCGTGAATTGCACGAATTAGTTGATATAAAAAAAAAAAATATGGATACGTTTTCACGAAAGGTAACTGTTTTGGATATATTGTCATTCGGTAAACAACATTTCGGTCATTTAACGGTGGTGTCACAGTAAACGTATTGGCCATGTTATAAGTCTACATTTTCTAAGTTCGCGTTGGCGGCTGACATTGAACGAAATATGCTTACTAAAAAACAATAAATAATCACAATAATAATGCACGTGCAAGGCGTGGTTATGCTGAACAACCACGGCTTGAACGTTCATCTGATTATGTTTTCAAACAAAATCAAGACATCAAAGAGGGTTTTGTTTTTAAACTCGCGAGTCTTAAAACTTAATCTTATTTCAGGAAGATAGGGACTGAAATGACAAAAAATTGGGTCTTGAGCGCGTGCGTTTTTGGTATCTGCACGCATTTATTATACCTAGGTATAATAATTATTATTGCCTGATCGTTGTAGCCTCTACATACTATGTATAATAAATACATAATTTACTATATACTATGTGTCGTGTATCTTAATGAATAAATTAGAGGAAGTGAACGTCGCGAAAATGGAACGCATCATCGCATCATAGCCATCGCCTAGAATGTAAATTAGACAATTTTCTCATAGTACGAACCGCCACAAAATATATATTATATTTTAAATTCAACCGCGCATAAAATATTCTTATAATTTTTCGTTATATTTTTATAGGCTTTAATAAAAAATACTGCGTTACACCATACAAAGTGCATTGTAAGATATTTATTTCGATATGAAGTCGTAAAGAAATATCCGACTTTTATCCAAAACTAGATGTACGCATTACCCTGTAGTAAAAATAAAATACATTATATGCATGTTACCGCCTACAAAAGTCTCAACACAACCGGCAGGGGTATGTAATAATAATAATAATATGGATGTTTTTTTCCAGGGTTCGAACGTTCTATGCAAAACCTTTTTGTAACCTATTATAATATCATATATATATATATATATATATTTATTATATTACATCGTGCAAGTGACTTAGGACCTACAATACAACACAACACCGTACCCGGTAGTAAAATTATACAATTTATAACTTGTACCATTTTTTGCTCTTGTACCTGTGTATAATATATTATGCCATCAGACGGCCAGCGTGTATATATTGTTGTTGACAGAAATGTATTGACCAAAATATAAAGGCATTTTTTTTTTAATGGAATTCCGAGCATAGATCCAATCATTGCACAAGAGTTCGGCGGACATTCTCAAATTGAATAACGTTCAAAATTTAATAAAAATAAGAAGTACGAGAAAAGAAGAAGATAAAAGCAAAAATCCAATCTAGATTACCGTTTATAAAATTACTATAACGATGAATGCTTAAATGTTAAAGGTATCAAGGTATCAATGTTAAAGGTATGAATCAATCTGTATGGAAAAAAATACATTTTCATAAGTCATTTCAATATTAGAAATAAAAGAACAGTTTTCATCATCTTCTTCCCGTGATATTTGACATGTTAAAGATATCAAATAATGTTCTTATAGGACACAAAAACTAGTAAGTCAAACGATGGTTAGTTTGGATAATTATGACTGCCATGCTAGTCGTCACAGATACCAATTTAATATTAAACAGACGTGATTGTTGCTACCTGGTATTATCATCAAATTATAACAGCTACAGTATCAATCCATTTCATTCTCGTGAAACATTTTGTTGGTCCTAAAAAAATAAACAAAAAAATTAGTTATAATAAATAACAAATTAACAAATTCAAAAATAAACATTTATTTAGTATCATTTATGAATTATCAATAATATATGATACTGTTTTATTAAAACAGGACTATACAATGCAATAATATTAAATTCCAAATCGTTTTCTTGTTAATCAATTAAAATAATAGAAATTATAATTGTAACCGATCAGTCAATTTTAATGTTATCAACATCTATTTTTTTATTAATTAAAAAAATATTTACGGAGAAACATTGTTTACTATACGTTTTCCATACATAAACTCATTGTGTCAAAATTGACCTAAAATGGACCATCGGACCGTTAAATATAATATACTTGTACTTTTGTGGTTTATACTGGTTGGTAGAAATTATTACCCTGTCAAATCGGTTTGTGTTAAAAATATTTATTTATTCGAATGAAATACCACAATAAACATGAAAATACCATATTTTTTGAACTGTGACAACAATATATTATAATTAATAGCAAATCATGTGAAGCGGAAACCAAAATGCACACTCTTATTGCTCTATAATTTATAACCGTACAGTACGATACACATTTAAAGTCATGCTTTGTATTATAAAAAAGCTATCACAAAACTATAAATTAATATTTTCCCATCATTATGACTTGCTGAAAATCATTTATTTAAAAGGTCTATTTTGACAAATAATTTTTTTTTATGCGGTGGACGGACTGAGAATTAAAATAAAGCAATGTAAAATAATTTTTTGGTCGATTCCTATAATAATTTGATGGTTATGTTTTGTCTTTTAATAATATTTACAACGTTAAGTTGAATAAATTGTATTAATCTGACAATAATAGGTACTTTAATTGTATAATCAAATAACGTATAGGTACATAATTTTTGTAATTATATGTAAATCGCCTTTAGGAATTAATTGATTTTAAGTCCAATAAGATTTCATTTAATGACTCACAGAATTCACAGACTGCATTTACTGGATTTTAAAACCCATTAATTAATTTTGCTAGGTAGACATTTTAACTTGTCTCGGCAAACCTCATAATTGTATAATGTACCTTTCTTATTAAATAAAAAAAAATACCTTAGCAATGGTAATTTACTTTTGTAATAACTACAACGCTATCAATAAACCTCGTGTTTTTATTTCAAGTCGTAATAAAGTGTACAAGTAAGCGACACATTACCATATTAATGGTCTTCTTTACTTAAGTTATAAAAACACGCAGTTCTTATACTGATTGATGCGCATTATCATTTACATTTAGTAGCATGCTTCTATTTATAATTATCAACAACGTTATAACTCTAAAAGCAATAAAAGTATTACGTGTCCGCTACTGAATTGTTTTATTTTATTGGCTATTTTATTATCGGTACCATAAAAAACGTAATACATTATTTAATTCCGTCAGCGCTTAAGTGAACTACACAGAAAATTATGTAAGCTACTACTTATTGTAGATATAGGTGGAATATCTTTTATGCTTTGTAAACTTACATAAATTATCAAATTTCCGACCTAGCTAACGGCGTTGACGCAGCTTCAGTAAATTCGAGTATCCAAATAAATATCTACGATAAATGTTTTATTCATAAGTAAAATAAAAATTATCTATTATTTATGAAAATGTATTTTAAATACATTTCAAGTTAACTGAAGCAGTAGGTTTTGTGTAAAAAGCAGATTATCTGGGAAAGAAAGGATATTGTTATTTATGGTAAAATTAAAATTTTGCCCAACACTGACAACATGTTTTGGTTAGAGCCCATATCGAATATTAGTAATTTAGTTTTAACAATAATAATAAGTTTACATGCTACAAGCAGCTACAATTTTTTTTCTTCAAATGCTATTGTGTTATTTATTTTAACGAAAAATAATTTAACAACATTTGTGGGGATAATATCGAGATGCATGATTTTAGATTCCATATTTTATTTTACCTCTTGTTTTAATGTTTATACAGGCTAGACTTAAATTTTAATATAATCTCTATTAATTTTTTTTTTAGTTTAAGTATAAAGTTGGAATGTTACCAAAGTGAGTTTGTTATTTTTTTTTTTAGAGTTTTAAATAACAAGCCTAGTACTTAGTGCAGCAGGCAAATATGTATTATTTATTATGGTGTTAAAATTTGGTTTTCATTTTCTGGCTATGAAATCAAGAAGCAAAATAACTATGTTATACTGGTTCTATGTGTATAATAAATTTTGTACGAGTTTTTAGGCCGTTCGCTGTTTTAATTAATCTTATGTTTTAATTAGTGTGTCATCGTTATGCTCTACTCGTATAAAATATAATTCGAGCCTTGATGATATGCTAATCTGATGAAACTTGGCCGTCGCTTTGACGGAATAATTTTTAATTTCTAGGAAATATTATATCATTTAACAATTAAACGTTATGACTATTCATTTTTGCTGTTCTCTTCGGTGCCATCAAAACGTTCAAGTACTAAATATATTCGTGCGGAGTTCTGAACGTGAATAGCATATGAGAGAATAATGTTTATAAGCCAAAAAGGACTGCCGACCACCATAAAACAGAAACCGTTCTTATGTTGTATTGAGTTACATACCATGTAGTATAAAATAGTGTAAAATAACGAAAACAGTAAGTGGAAATAGGCCGGAGCTATGCTTATCGTCGACAGTGTGTTTATTACAGTTATATAACGGTATTGCACACGGTGCAGAAAAAACATAGTCACCAACTGCCACCATATAGTTTTAATATAAGTAATAATATTATCTACACGGAAACGCCGATAGGAAGCAGTAGGATGCGAAAGGTCTTAAAGCCATCTAATATTATAGAATGTACAGGAATTAGAGTTCTACTGTTATTATTACGTTATTGCCATGTACAATTATTGTGATTATAAACAACATAAAATATAAGAGTAACAATATTTTTGGAAAAAAGCCGTTTTGTTTTTTTTTATAAAATTTTTATAAATTAATGCAAATAAGTAAATAATAAATTAATAATATGTGATCGTGATTTATTACAGTACCAAAACAAGAACTGTTTTATCATATTATAAATTATAGTTATTTGACTAGCTCGGTTAAGTACCAAAAATCACTTTCTTAAATGCAGCACGCCTTGAGGAGAGTGATTTAAAAAATTAAAGCACTAAAATTTCCCACCTTTTATTATAACGTATTTAAAAAACAAAGGACAAACCACATAAAGTTCTAAAAAAATAGCTATTTTAAGTATAGATTAGGTCGAAAAATGCATTTTTTTTATAAAATGAATAGATAAATAATCTTAACGTATCTAATTAATAATAATCAATGATCACTGACAACATTGTGTATATTTCTTAAGACATTGGACAGTTGTAAAGTTTTTCCCCCGTTCCAAGACAAGACAGTATTATAACTAAAACAAATTGTCTTACTAGTGTTACAATAAAGTGTAACCTACTCTCACGATAAACGTTATGGTTCAAATACAAATAACAAGTGTATGTACGTTACGTGCAAGTACATGGAAGTAAGAAGATCTCAATCGAAAACGGTTCAGGGAATATTGTGTACCAATAAAACCGTACAAGATAACTACTAGCTAAGACAAACATACATAAATACTGAATACATATTAACACGTATAGAATAACACATAAAAATCACGTTGTGTAGGACCAAAATGTCCCCAACCCAATGGCCGTGTACGAGCAATCGTACTCGTTGTTTTCAACGTTTGATGGGTTTTACTGCGTCAGTTTTCTTCTTCGTCCCCGTTTCTATTGTACTTAAAGGAATTGTAAGTAGGTGTTTGTCATGCAGTCGTATATAAGTCCAACACGATGTCGAATAAGCTGTGGTATCTTGTTTATATAAAAATACCAAGTGGAGTACAATTCACATTGGTCTCGGTTAAAGTTATGTAAAAATAAAACAAAGAAACAGACATTGCTTTGAAATAAAACATAACCCGGTATATTGATGTAATGGATTTGTATAGTTTTTTTTTTTTAACTTTACCTTATTGATGTAATCATGTATTACAAAAATGAATTAATGTTCTACGCTGTTTTTACAAAGATAAAAAAACTCGTTATAAAGAAGTTGAATATTGTATTTCCATTAATTCTATCGAATAAATAACAAAGCTTTCTCACACACACACATATATTTATATATGTATTATGATGGAGGACGCGCTGATATACGATATTAAACCTCCGTAAGCTAAATGTGTATAAAGTATTAAAAGTTTAATTTAAGATGTCTTAAATCATTATTTCTTAGTATATCAAGTACTATTTTAATAACTTCTTAGCCATGTTCCACAAAAGTCCCCTTATATTATTATATTATTTATTTAATCTTCTGCTAACATACATCTTTAGTTTTTTTATTATCTTTAACTTATAGCGCATTGACATCCATATTGTTATTTAGCTTCTAATATTGTTAACAAATTAATATTAAAATACTCAAATCCTTATGTTACAGTACAAATAAATGTACTTTTTGAAAATTAGTGGCTAAAGTTTCCTATGGGAAGTCTTCTCTTTCAAACAAAAAATATTACCAAGTCCTAAGAGCCAGCATAGCGTGAGAGATTCTTAATTAATTAAATTTACAAAGTTGACATAAACTACAGAATACAACACAAATCAAGAGTTGCCATCTGTGTCTTTTTTCGTTGTTATATTATACATCAAAACGGACGTTTCTAGTATTTTTTTTTTTTATAAGCAGTCCTTTGAGTAATACAAAAATGGAAACCATTTTAAATCACCGTCGTATCAAAATGACTGTACTGTCAGATGTCAGACACTGATTATCTTTTAAGAATATACTATGTTGAATACTACGCTGTTTACCCGTTTACCTAATTAACAATGAGACTCAAACTGCCACTGATCGTATTGCTTAAGGTTTAATGTCAACTAGTATTATTTTTTAATTAAAAAATAAAATTATCCAAATAAATACATTCAGTTACGCGTTAGTCCATGCGTG